CAGAATCCGGCGCCCTGACCGGGACTAGAACCCAGTGTGCCGGCGCCGCAAGGCGGAGGATTAGCCTAGTGAGCTGCGGCGCCGGCGTCTCATTCATTTTAATTCTCTGCTGGTAGAAACAGTACATAAAGGTTAGAGGAGATGCTGTTTTTTGTCATTGTTATTTAGTTAAAAATATTTGGCCTATAGATACACTGTATATTCAGACCATAGATATACTGTTTATACATATACACATATACACATGCATATGTTGGCCTTTATATATTACCTAGTTACCTAGTTAACTCCTCCAGCACTTGGTACTCCAGAGAAACCATGAGGATTATGATTTTTGCTGAGCCTATATCTGAACACTTTGCTTTATGAGCAGAGGTCTAATATTCTTGCCAAGCTTGATGACATTCTTTTTCAGAAGACATACAGGCCAATTTGGAGGATACGACCTTTGAAACTAAGCCTTAGGGCTTAGCTGTGTGAGGTGAAGACTGACCAAATCAAGTATTCTGGAGCTCTCTTACACAGTCTTATTGCAGAGAAGTTTATATTTGCTCTTTAGCTGTAAACTTAGGGTTTATTAATCATAAAAATTATAACTTAGTCATGCATGGCAAGGAATCATCCAATGATTCAATAAGGGCATCTTGCATTTCTTAGACTATGGTAATTAGATATCCAATTTGTAATTAAGTAAAAATGAAAGCTGACCTTTCTCCTTGAGATGAAATAACACTAACCATATGAGGAACAGAAGATTTATGATTTAAATGAATCTAAATAAAATTTAAGGGAATAGAACTCTGCTTCCCCTGGGTAACTATGATATTTTCCCCTTGCCAATAGCAGAGGTTTAACAAAATATCCAGTATATTGGAGCATGGGCATTTCAATTGTGCGTTCATACAACATTCCAATGTGACATGCTGCTCTGCAGAGTGGATAGTTAGCGCAATCCATCAACCATTACAGTGTTGTCAGTGTAAGAGTGAGATTTCATAGTACAGTACAGAAATAGAAATAAGCAACCAACTGCATTGACAGCGTCAGCATTTTTACTTCCTCACAGCAACAAGTGAATTCCTGATTTCATCTACCAGTGTTCTCTCCCAGGAGTCTATTCAGGTGAACAACAAAGAGCAAGCAGCAGTGCTCTTGCTTCCTTAAGTGGGGTTTGACAGTTCTACAGGAGATCCAGGAAGGTCGTAGGTCCAATGATAAAGATCCGCTTTCACGCATAGACACAGAATGATGATTATAATCCATGCAAGGAACCTTTATTTCTTCTTCCCCAATATTTTTCTAAATCTACAAAAAATTATACTGCATTCTACTTAGCAATTTAAGTCTCCAAAGAAATATAGTCGAATGGCAAATTGCAGCAAACTACATTATGTTTTATCTTCTTCTCACGTCCTTTTACTCTTCCCATTCCTTCTCACCATTGTTTCATTTCTCTCTGACCAACTGTTACCCCTCCAGTCCAACCATTCGTCTTCCCTAGCCAAAAGACCAAGAGCATTACGCTGTATTTTGAAACATCCCTGTAGCATTGCTTTCTTTCCAGATACAAACCTGATAGAGACCTCAGAGTTTTCAAATGATGCCTGAGAGACAACTAGAAGGGCTTCTGGCCAAAGGCACACATCTGGCCCCCGCTCTGGAGCCAGTGTGAGTGCATGGTGCCTGGGGAGGTGCATGCCTCTGCAACGAGACCTCAAACATGAGATTTTTATAAAACAGGGCAGGAGAAAATGAAAAAGAGAACAGTTGAAAGCAAACTGGAGTTAAAGAAAACATATTTGAGATATGAATATCAATATCTAGGATTTATTTCTACAGACTGATAAAAAGGTAATCAGTGAGCATTTTTTAAAAAAATATTAGGTGTTGAATTTTGTAAGTCAATAAAACGAGTACCAACCCGGCAACTTGACTTATTCATGGCCACAGAGGTTATCTCCAAATTCTTTAGCTGAGGAAGTTTATAAAGCACTGTGAACATGGCGGAAGATGTTGGTTCTTGCTTATTTTCAATTTTCTTCATATATTAACACTAATTTCACATAACTGGGATAATGTGAATTTGATGCAATTAAATAAAAACAATTTGTTGAGTGTTTGCTGTTTCCTAAGAACTACTTTAAGAGTGTTAATACTTCATTTACTAAAACACAATTACGTAGGCATCATTATGTTCATGGTATAGATGAGGGTACTGTGGCTCAGAAAAGTCAAGTAAATTAGAGTCCTTATAGTTAGAAAGGTTTGTCTATCTCCACAGACCTAGCCAAGAATCCATGGAATTAATCATCAAATCATTCATTCATTCTTCTCAATGCAAGTATGCTATTCCATGGCCCTCAATGGTTTAATTATTTATGTTTTAGTGCCATGGTGGGATTAATTTAAGCCCTGTTTGATGTTGAAGCTAAGGCCAGCTGTGTCATGTTAGTGTATGCAACACAGACGATTGACAAGGCCATTGCAAGGCAAAGATTGATGCTAAAAGCTCTTGTGTTTCCATAACAACTTTTAGCCAATATTTGCATGTTAAAGACACAAAAATAATGTGTTTGCGTGTTTGGGTAGAGAAAGGGTGGTCCAACATCTCTTTTTTCCTGGAGTTCATCCTAGCCACAAACATTACACGTTAAACTGAGTGGCCTATGCTCCAACATGATGCAGCGCATGGGTGTGGGAAGTGACATGATACCAGGGAACAGTAGCCACAGCAAAAAAAAAAAACAAAAAAAAAATCAAGGGGGAAGGAAATATTCACACAAACACACACACACACACACATACATACACACATCTCTTACTGTTAGAGGGAGAAGAATGAGTAATTATATGAAAAAAAATCAAGGGGGAAATATTCACACACACACACACACATCTCTTACTGGAGAAGAATGAGAAATTATACATGCATGCATGGGGCTGAAGCGGTGATGATGGAATAAAACTTTGCTAAGGCCCTGAGTGACAGCTGAAGCAAAGACCCATACAACCATCTTCCTGTCTCCGAAGGGTTCTTATTTTGGCCTCAGAGGTGATGTTTAACTTTAGTGTGAGCGCTAAGTTAGCATTGGTGTCCTGCAGATGAACACGCTATTGTTTTTAAGAAGGTGGTTGGTTTCTTCTAGAAAGTCTACTCAGAACTTGGCAGAACTTTCCCCCTTTCCTGTGCTGTCTCAGTTTGTGCTACGCTGTATACCGGTCTGGCGGCACATACTGAATTTTACCTCGTGACTTGGACAGAGAAGTGTAGCCTGGATCTGTTGCACATTGGTATGATTTATAGAACATAGACGAGCTGAACTCAGGAAGCCCCTAAGGTGTGTAAATAATAGTAAAGAGAGGGATTTGCAAAATACAGTCTGAAGTTCTGCTGCGGTGAGCTACATAAAGTTTATCCTTTAAATAAAATAACAAACTATTGAAACGTTAGGCGCCACATGGAAAGTTGTCTATTAAAAAGATAAGATGGCCAAAGCTCACATATGAAAACCAGATTCTCTGATATTTTGAGTCACAGAAATGGTTGCATGTGCATTCTGTTCCCCAGTCTTTAATACCTGCATCTTATTTAAATTTAGCTTCCAAAAGAGTGAACTACTTACAGTACTGCTTCTTCTTTGAACAACTAATGCATTCAGTAAGAATAATAAGGATAAAGATGATACAGCATGCCATACCTTTTATATTGTTTTTACCCTTGCTCTCTCATTTGACCCTCTCAAGAGCACTTCTAAGTGTAGTGACAGAAAAGGCACAAAGGCATAGCCTGAACACACCCGGAGAGTACACCAGAGACCTTGCCATGCGCTTTCCTGTCCAGGGCTCTTGCCCCTGCCCCCACTCTCATGCATATGTTCTACTGAAATCTGTCTTATGTGTCTTTTTAAAAATTATGTGTTTATTTGAATGGCAGAGAAAGATACAGAAAAAGAGACACAGACAGAGAGCTCTCATTTGCTCTTTCATTCCCCAAATGCCCACAATGGCTGGGATCTGAGCCAGACCAAAGCTGGGAGCCAGGAGCTCAATCCAGATCTCCCATGTAAATGTCGGGGACCCACCTACTCGAGTCATCACACCTACTGCCCCCTTCCCCCACACAAGGGTCTGCATTAGCAGAAAGCTGAAACGGAGAGAGGAGGTGGGACTTGAACCCAGGTACACCAACGTGGGATGTGGCATCCCAACTCAGTGTCTTAACTATTCCACCAAATGACAGCTGCTATCTTACATTTCCATAGAGCTTATAAAGCCCAGAAGAGCTAGACAAAGATAAATGGACTCATTAACCTTCAGTCTATATTCTAATGTGGTATGTCATATTTTTCACTTGGAACTGATGTAATATTGCACCACAAAAGGTGAAATCTAACAAGTAGAAAATAGACTTTGAATCGTTTTGGAAGAAATGTCATCCTAAAAAGAAGTGAATGGCTATAGTTAGTGAAGATAAACAAAAGTCTAATGACCTTGCTATCCATCTATTAAACAACTATCTTCACATTTCAAATATATTGCTTTGAATTAACATTTGGCCATAATACTCAAAATTGTTCTCAAAGCATATTGGACTGTGTCTGAAGAAAGCAATGCATAACAGAAAGAAAACAAAAGCAAGAGACCTTCCTTTTGTAATGGATTTAATTGTCCAGAGTTCAAGCTCCTGGATGAAGCTGAAATTGCTCATTCATAACAAACAATAGATATCAACTTGAGAGGTTCACTGTTACTTCCTCCAATAATTTTTGTTGTCTCTTTCTCCCTCTTATCTCTCTCTTTCTCACTCTCACTTTATCTCTTTAACTAGCTACTATACATGCTTTTGCAGAATTTCAGGAACAGCTTTTTATTTGGAGAATATGGCTGCCTGAAAGAGTTACAGGATATAACAAAAGCTTTACCCCAAAGCTTCTATGCATTACAAGATCTTGCACTTGGATAATAGAAATATTTAGCCTCAGGTGACTGAGAACACTTACTGTTGGTTGCATAACGTATGGCGGATGAGGCATCCATGAAGTACTCTGGACCTATGCATCAAACAGCATTTATTAGCACAAAGCAATCACAGAGAGAACTCGGTTCTTGCGTTCAGTGGAGTCACACTAGGTCATAAGAAAAGTGGAGTCCATCTGACTACACAGCTAATTATGGCTCGAACTCAAGGGTGAATCAAAGGGACTTGATTCATGTGGGCCCTGAGACATGGTAAGATATAAAATGACATCCCTGTTCACTGGCATTGACTTCAGTGCCTACCTGCACCTAGCTGGGTTTTGCAGCATACAATGAGGTTGTGTTGAAGACTAAAGTCTTAGTGGGCTTGAGACCTGGTCAACTCCAAAGGAGGCCCTGGCAGCAGAGGTGGAAGTAGGAGCTGACTGCTCCCACTTCCTCTTTGTCATCAGTTGTCCCTTCAAATACTCAGGTGTTCTCACCTTAGGAATACATCCAAGTGGCAGAAGTTGTAGGACAAACTAAAGAGATAAACCAGAAAGCAAGTTGGTATTTTTCCTCTCTTGTAGTAATTGGTATGCAAGATTTAAAAATGTGTATCTGAGCAAGCCAACCATTCTCAGATGTGCCATGTGTCAGTCAAATGAGAAAAATCAGCCTGTGTAAGCTGATTGTCACAGGGAGTCCCTGGAAGATTTTGTTTGTTTGTTTCAGTGTACTCACACCAACAAAACTGCCAATACACTTTGGATTTTTTTTTTAAAGTGGAGAAAGACAAGAAAAATGATAATATGGGAGCTTGTTCTAATCTCTTTTTTGAGAAAAGGGAACAAGAGTTAAATTTCTTTCATGAGCCCTTCCTCGTAAAATCATTACTCTGTGGATATTTTGTTCATGTCACCAAAGTGCTCTACACTGTGACTGGATGGGTGGTCTTGGCCGACACAGAGGCCAAGATTAGAAAAAAAGGGCGCGCACGCGCACGCACACACACACACACACACACTGCAACCAGGCAGGCCAGCAAGAAGCACAAAAACTGATCGTCTCCTGCACTTAACTGCGTGGGCCCCAAGGAAAGGCAATTAAGAAATCAGTCATTCTGAGACCCTCTAATGCAATTCAAAGGAAAGTCTGTTCCATTCACCCACGGGCATGCTTCAAGAGTCTGAGTGCAGGGGAAAAAAAATGAAAATGATTTGCTTCAGGGAGAACTAGTTAAGGAAAAATGCATATCATATCAAGTTCGATGCTCTGCCAACTGGGACATCCTGAAATGAGGGATGTTGTGGCTGAATAAGGTGAAACTTCAACGAATTCATAGCAGTCAGCAACATGACAGTTTTACCCATTGTAAAGCACCCACCCCCACCATCTGCAAAATATAGAGAATTATACGCATGTACAGTCTTGCATTTCTCTCTTGCTCTCTCTCTCCAAACTTTTTTTTAAAAAAATGACACTAGACACATTCTAAAGGTAGTATTGATAGGTCACTTCTAATCAGCCTTAGAAGAAATCTTTGAAGAACAGTTTATAACATCAAGAGGACCAGGGAGTGATATCACCTATTTGATAATTAGAAGGAATAAAATAAGGAATGCGGTTTTTTTTTTGGAGAAGTGTGATTACTTCAGCCCACTTGTATCCTTGGAACTAGCTGGTGACCCGCCTGGTTTAGGGCGCTATTGAATCCCAAATGTTCCTGAGGATCAGCCTGTGAACTCCCTGACCTCCCTTTTGTCTCTTTGGAACTGAGAATGCAGTGGGAGCAGGGTGCCACCATGACTTTCTACAATTTTGATAATTGCCTCTATTTGGGGGGAGGTAGGATTTAACAGAGATCCACCTAGGTTTAGCAGGACAACCGTAACAAAATGAGATGACAATGACAAGATATCCTGGAGTATGTGAAGGGATTGCTGGAAATGTGATTTTATAAAAGACACAATAGGCCATGTGAACAACCAAAATAATAAACAACAAGCAAAATAATTTCCCAGTGGCAAGAGATCTGTATTGATGTTGGCTGAAAAAGAGCATAGACATAAGAACTCAGCAAGAAGAATGGGAAGGAGGCTGGATTTTATTTGCCAGTGAGTTGATGCAAATGGGCCCCTGAAAGCATAGGGTAACTCATAACTTGGGTGTTATCAATGAAGATGTGCTGAAGTATATAAGGACAATTTTTCTTTTAATTCTATGGTGTCCTTTGTGCCTCTAAGTTGTATATTACGGGCAAGGCAGATCCCTCCTGAGGTGCAGGTGAATCGGACATACCTGGTATGTGGAGACAGGGGAAGCAGCAATGAATGGCGTGATAGATGTCTGAGGAATCATGCGGTTGGTTGCAATACTGTACGGTGAAGAATAAAATCTGCAAACAGAAAACAAAAAAAAGAAGATTCATGAAGCAGCTGCAGGCTGGCTGGTAATCAAAGACTACCAAGTACCTCTGGGAAAGAGAGAGTGCTTCTACTTTCCTTGTTTCTCCATTAACTATTAACAAGAGCATCCAGGAGATTGGCAGTATGTAATTCCCAAGAGAATGAAGTCATTCTGAACAAATGGACAGCTTTGAGTCATCTTACAAAATTAGTTGCACAAAATCGCTCTTATACCAAGTGAGTGTACTAGTGTCTTGAACCAACGGGGAAAAAAAGCCACTGTAAAAAAAGAAAAGGCAATGCTATTCAAAAGTTATTTGAAAGAAAGGCAGATGGAAGCACTGCACGTTATAAACGTGGCTGATGTTACACACAAACACACTGCATTCGTTTCTTCATTCAGGAAATAAGGGCCGGTTCCTAGCAAAGTCTGGATATTTTGTGCTAGGCCCTTGTACTGGGTCCATACCTTCCTATAAAAAATACTTTCTCCTTGAAAAGTGAACAAAGAGGACAATTTTTTTAGGTGGGAATAGGAATATCTTCTGGTTCTAAGAAGGCACTGGTGGACATATTTACCTACATGATAGATGCTGTAGATTCTATAAAATGTTCCATCTGGTACGGATGATATATTTTTTTTTTCAAATATTTCGATCCAAGACTGGATGAACCCAGGGATGTGTGACCCGAAGATTTGGAACAATATTTAAGATACGTAACTACTGAGATGTTCACCATGATGAATCTCAAGTGAATTGTGCTCAAGACAAAAAGCCAGACTCCAGTCTATATAGTACAGAATTCTATTTATGCTGCAACATGGAATATGCAAACTATAGAGACAGAAAATAGATCAGTGGATATCGAAGACGTGGGGTGGGGGAAGGACATGATTGCAAAGGAGCATGGAGGTGTTGGGGAGGGGATGTAACTGTTCTGTATCTTGTGACATGTTTGTGTGTATTTGGCAGAATCATAACTGTAGACTAAAAAGAGTGAATATACTCTATGTCAGTCATACCCAGTAAGAAAAAGATAACTAGCACATAAGGAAATATCCATCTTTGTACCTTCAAAAAATTTACTGAGCATTTGCTATGTGCCAAGGATGGATTAGAGTTAATTAATACCTTTGAATTACTGTTTAGTGACATAATTGTACTTTCTGTGCACATTAATCAAAAACCCTCTAAAGGCTTTCATCAAAATGGTTACAAAATCTGAACTCCTTATATTGGCCAGCACAAACTACTGAGTTCCTCCCTAGTATGCTTTTGACACTGTCCTACTTCCTCTGCCCAACTAAATCCAACAACATTGACTTTCTTGTCCCATGATCTCAGCACCCTCACTCCCATCTGACCACTGACACTGCAGTCTCTGAACCCACAAGGCTAGTTTCCCCAAATCTCCACACAAGGGTTCTTTTTTTTTATTTTTCTTGTTTTCATGCACCTCTTTCTACTTCAGCGGAGCCTGGAGAAAAACAGCAACTGCCATCTCTACTGCAAATATTCTCAATCCCTTTTCCCTTTCTTTTTCTTTTGTTCTGATCACTCTCTGAAGCAGTCATTCTTAAACATTCCTTTATTTATGCCAGGGGCTGAATTTTGGTGTCTCCCCAAATCCTATGTTGAAGCCTGAATCCCCAGCCTGTTATTCGTAGCCTCTAAGGAAGCAGCTCAGGTTGAATGAGGCCGCAAGGGTGTGGTCTTGAGCAGATAGGATTCGTGTCCTTATGAGGCACCGGAGAGCTCACTCTAATTTTCTTCCTGCCCCCCTGCCCCCCACACACACACTGAAGAAGGCCATGCCAGGAAAAGACCTCACCAGCAGCTCTATCAGTCCAAATCTAGCTTTCAGAACTGTGAGTAGATGACTTTCTCGTGTTTAAGCCATATAGTCAGTGGTGCTCGGGGCAGCTAACTGCAGCTGACAAATACAATGTAGTTATCGATCATTTTTCCCTTTATGGGATCAGTCCGAGGAGGACTGAGGGCCTCTCTGCCTTGTTGCCGAAAACCTGCGGCCCATCTCAGAGTGCCAGTTCAGGGCTACTTCTCAGTTGTGCCACAGCTTCCCGCTGCTGGGCTGGGCAGGCAACAGCAAATGGCCTTGGAGTGCTTGGGCCCCTGTTACCCATGTGGGAGACTCAAATGGACTTCCTGGCTCCTAGCTTTGGCCTGGTCTAGGCCTGGCTGTTGTGACCGTTTGCGCAGTGAATCAGCAGAAGGAAGATTTCTGTCTCCCTCACTCTCTGTTGCTCTGCCTTTCAAATAAATGAATATATATATATATACACATATACATATATATATATACACATATATATTTTTAAATAACAGAATTAAGTGATTATAGTATAGTATGGCCAGTGCCAGGAAGGCAGGAGCTGAAAGGTGAGTCCCTGGAGTAAGTAGGAAGGAGGCCAAGCAATGAAGTACCAGACAGGTGGTCTAACATTGTGTAATTAAAGCATTCTTTGGAAGCTTCACTCATAACCTGCTTTCTAAGCACGCAAGGGCATTGGTAACCGTGGAAAACAGCCATTTCCCATAAAAACCGTGGTTTGCATTTAAAAATCCCCGTTAGGTCTTATCTTTGACAGATCTTATTTATGAGACAGTGAGCAGAACGACTTATTCAGGGCTCGTAATGACATGACAGGCTCCCATGGCCATTCAAGAGCAGTCTTTCTCCTACACCACACGGAGCTGTAGCTCTGGTAGACACCCCGTCTCTTACACTAACAGAGAAAATCATGCCTCGCATTTTGGCATGGCTGGTCTATTTTGTAACACGTATCAATTGGAGTATTAAAAATGAAAGCAATAAAAATTGGATTGACAGGCAGAGTTTACAGGAAATTCTGTGGGGAAAACAGCAGAAACATAAAGAAAGCAGGCAAGTAAATGGATACTAACAAAGGGAACCCTTGGGGGGAAATTTAATGCGTTTTTGGTCTATCTGCTCTAATCCTATCCATCAAACAAGAATAATATTTCCTACTTCGTAGCAGGTTCCAGTACTGCCACTCAAGTCAGAGCCATTTGGAATGGAAAACACCCTGAACAAAGCAGACTCAACACGCTGTCCTGATCCCCCAATTCTCGTATTCTGCACTAAGCTCTTCTCAAGTCCAAACGTAAATGAGAGAGGTTACAGGAAACCCTCGCTTAAACCATGGCAGGAAAGGCTTCTAGGGTGTTGGAGGCATACAGGGACCATATTTGAAGAAATACACGGAGTCGGACTCAAAGTAGACAAGAGCAATATATCTTTGCCAGTCTTAGCTTTTTGTCAGTCCCTATCATGTCTGAAAACACTTTCACCTAGGCATCAGATGAAAAAAAAATTAGAACATCCAAATAAATGCTTTAAGCAGCAGTGTCATGTTATATGGGAACAGGAAATAGAAAATTGACAAAGTGAAGGTAATTCTTTCTTTGAAATTTATTTTTTAAGAAATACAAATTTCATAAGTACAACTTTAGGAGTATAGTTATTCTTCCCACCATACCCACCCTCCCACCCACACTCCCAGCCCTCCTCCTCTCTCTCCCCTTGTCAGTCCCATTCTCCATTAGGAATGGTAATTATAAATCTGTGATTTTCTCTTTTGGTACCTGGTAGTACACGCATGATGCTTTACAAATGTTGTTACAAAAGACTGAGAATGAATTATTTAAAATATTATTTCCCTGGGAATAATCTCTCAGGACATATTTCTTTGCTAGGATTCATATAGCATTCCATGATTAGCCCAGGGCTTCTAAGCCAGGAGTGGATATTTGGCAATGCCTGGAGACGGTGTTAGGTGTCACAACTAGGGTGGGATTGCTGCTGGAACCTAGTGGCTTGAGGTCTCGTATATTGCTTTTTTTTTTTTTTTTTTTTTTGACAGGCAGAGTCGACAGTGAGAGAGAGAGACAGAGAGAAAGGTCTTCCTTTGCCATTGGTTCATCCTCCAATGGCCGCCGCGGCCAGCGCGCTGCAGCCGGTGCACCACGCTGATCCGATGGCAGGAGCCAGGTGCTTCTCCTGGACTCCCATGTGGGTGCAGGGCCCAAGCACTTGGGCCATCCTCCACTACACTCCCGGGCCACAGCAGAGAGGCAACCAGGACAGACTCCGATGCCCCGACTGGGACTAGAACCCGGTGTGCCGGCGCCACAGGCGGAGGATTAGCCTAGTGAGCCGCGGCACTGGCCATGGTCTCGTATGTTGCTAAACAAACTACAAGGCACAGAATGGCTCCCCATGATGTCCAGTGCAAAATATCTGTGGTGGCAGGACTGCGAAACTTTGTTTCAGAGGTAAGAGGTGGAGAAATTTCACATGAACAAAATGCCAAATGGCAAAATGGCCCAGAAAGCTTAGTTAAATATGATCTATCGAATTCTAGGATGGCTTTTAGAAAACTTCCTTTGTTTAAGGAATGCAAGTAGTTACTTGGTTCTGTGGTATTAAAGGCAAGTGACCTCTATAAGGCTGGAAAGCACAAGTCTAGGTTGCTAATAGGACATTATTCTGCCTGCAGAAAAATCATTTTCCGGGGATTTGGCAGTCAGTAGTGATGTGGTAAAATCTTATTTAACTGACAATAAAAATAACACGAATATATCAATAACCGTAGGGTAGAATGTTTTTTACTGTAGAAAAAGCATACGAAATCCTATTTGCACACTGAAATAAACAGTACTGGCTTGTGTTTCATGTCCACAGGCAATATTGTTAGAGTTGGAACCACGCATACTATCCTCAGGGTAACACAATAGCACCAGATTAATAAGTCACTGGTCATTTTTATTGTAATACCAACTTATCCTTCATGTTAGATTCCCTTCCACGTGTAATAAGATAAAGCTTCTGTATCACTTAATATCCAATGCCCATATAAAATAGCTGGCAAGACCAATGCTATAGAAAACATTCTTTCTCACATCTCCCCCAAGAATACATTTTATTCTAATAAAACAATTTAAGA